ACGCTGCCCGGACTGAGGGTATAGGTTGTGAGTGAGCGCCACTATCCACAGTATACAATCGCAGGGTTGGTGTTTTTGTACTAACTCACCCCTGCCCTCACGACCTCCCTATCTGAGCGACCAAATGCGACCTCCGATGAGATTCTCCCAACAATGTTGTATAACGATGAGAAAGCATATTTTCCGTGGAAAAACGATGAAACCCCTGGTTCAGATAAACATCATCAGCACTGGGACGTGTATGCAAGTACTGAGCTACCACACCTCATCGCTCAAATCGAAGAGAGCTTCGAGATGATGCGGCGGTTGCCGATTTGTAACTGGAGACAGCTCTCCGGCTGACTGCCCAACTGTGATTGTGTGTGAGGATGAAGAGCAGGATGAAAGGCTGCCGCCATCTTACCACTTCAAAGCCGTGCCGCCAAACGCTATTTTGTTGCCTGAGGCAATCTTCGTAGTGAACTTGACGAGTTATCAATCACCACCTTTTTTTAGTTCATGCGCATCCTGTGATGTACGTAGCACACTCAAATCCCTACAATCTCCATCTTCGTCATGGCGTTAGATCTTCTGGCTACCATCTCGTGTGCTTGCATGAGCACGAGTTCAATATGGTAGTTGGGAGGGGGGGGGCAGTCGCATCTTTGACACAGCCAATGAGCCCCGGTTCCAGCGCTCGGCGAATCGATGCAGAACAGATCTCAACAGTTGAGATTATTTATTCGTAAGTTCAAAAACTGGTGACTTGTATAAACATATTCGCCAGACGCCGCGCTGGCGCTTCCATAGCCTGGGATTATTAGACGGGCCAACTGTCACCAATTAACAAATCAAGTCTCCCCTCCAAGACGCGATTTATACGGCCTCATTTCACACCTCACCATGAAACTCATCCATGCTGTGCATATGAAATCCATCTAAGCACTTCTAAGGACGATCAGTGTTAGTTTGAATAGAGACAATGATGGGATGGGACCAATCTAGCAAACGACTGACCGTGCATTGGGCGTGCCAACTTGCCTTGTTTCTCGACGTTCATCGCCTTTATACACATATCGTTATCCTCTGGATATTTGTCACAGGATAACATTTCTGGCCATGGGAAACCGTACACCGACATACGTCCCTCACAACCCTGAAAAACCATTTTCAAAAAAAATCACACCAGCTTGTCTATTGATTGGGACCATTGCACGCCATGGCGCTACCTGCGACCCCTCTCGTGCTTCCAGTATTAATGGAGCTGAAGGTGAGTGGAGGGGAGGAAGGGGAAAGGGGGACGGGAAGAGGAGTGACGTCAGTTCAACTAGGAGAAAGCTGTATGCCGCCAGACGAAGTTATATGTAGTGCGAAAATATCAGTAATAGATATGTCCATCAGGCCACATTCCCTCGATTCCTCAGTCACTTACAGCTGAGACCCTCCCCCTCACTTGCGTGGAGAAATCCCAGTGTTCAGCATGGTGTTCTGGAAACTTTGTGTCGAATTTTGCAACAAACTGCGGCCTTCGGTACTAGGGTTCGATAGCCTGGGTCGCGGGGCTCAGCAGCCGCAATGGGAAACCCGGGCAGCTCGGCGATTTCGGGGGAGTTATTTCGAGTTTTGTTTCTCCATTTCGTTGTTCATTCTTTATAAGATTGACACAGTAATTCTTCACCTAGTTTTCGACTGGTTATCATTTTGTCATTTTATCAGCAGCGAAAAAGCAAAATGCACCCCGCCCCCCAATCTGCGCCGCGAAACCGACTCTTGTTCCGCAACGTAACCAGATTCCCTGCTCGCTGCCTTGACCCACCTGTTTCACCGCTTTGCAGAGTGATCGACACGGCAGAATCTCTTTGTCCATAGTTGGCAGACAAATTGGAGCGAAAAGTGAGCACAGGAAAAGCTGAAGAAGACAAATCATCCGGTCGATCCAATGAGCAGATAAGCAGAAAGAAAGAAAATGGAAAAAGTGAAGTGAGAGGGGTTCCTACCTGAGTGTCTGGATGACAATTCAGCTGAAGTAATGATTTCCAATCACTTGATTGATGAATCGCTTCATTGATGGTGTCATGTTCCAGCAAGTTTGGAAGCCGCATTTGGCTGTACTGAAAATAGCAAGCCTGACCCTTTTTCTGTTTTCTCGAGACCTGAGAAGCCTAGTTTTTGCTTCGGGCGTCCTCACCCAAAGTGACGGAAGTACGCTTGAATGGAACATGAGCAAGTGAGCATAATTTTAGTCCCCGTTGAGCTTGTCTCCATTCCTAACAATTCCCACAGAGTTCGAGTTAGTCATGAGCGCGACAATCTCACGGTGGACTACAAAATTAGTTGTAGTTGTTTGTTATCATGGGAATGTCAGCTGAAAGTTCCCATCGAAGCGTCACTGGCCCGAATCTCTTACCGCAGAAAGCCCAGCAGGGAATTCATGGGCAATTTCACCTTGGGATGACATGTCCATTCGAATCTTCTCAGCTCTTCAGACCTATCCATTAGAGTGGATCATATCTATGACAGCAATCCGCGCTAATCCTCTGGCTAATTAATCACAAACGTATCCCGAGAGACAAAGAACGAGCGCACAAATGAATTGTTACCTGCATGCCGTAACAAATGGTGAGATTGTGTGGTATGGGCACACAACGTGGGCCCGTTGGTCTTTCCGAACTGAGCATCCATGAGTCGGAAAGGTACGCTGTGGAGACCGATAATATCAAGAGAAGGGTGGCGAGCAACGAAACACGGGACATTGTAATGAGGATTGAAGCCACGCCCCCGGGGCACTTCTTGACCAGAAGGAGGTGCGAACTTGGACAGCGAGTGCAGCAAAGTGCCAATTATGTAGAATACGAACTTGGCATAAGAGACAACCGCCTCTTGCTCCGCTAGGAGCTTATCACTATGATTGCTAATCGCTGCAGGAACGAATCATATCCCTTTGAGACTTAGTTCTATGTTTGTAGTTGCTACAGGGGTCTAAAAGCCAGGGCTAGAACTATTATATTTCCCGAAAGAAGTACTCAAGCTACTCAAGAGCAAAGTAACATAGAGGATATTTCACATCTCACAACTTTTGACGACTTTTGAGTGGACTTATTAAGGAGAGAGTTTAAAGGCAGTTGGCACGATAAATTCCCCTAAGACGAGTAGGATTAATACGCCTGGCAGGAGGGAATTCCGCGACCCTGAGCAGGCGCTGCATAATGCCTTTTCCAAGGGAGGTGCCCTTATAAGGGCCCTATCAAGCCACAACATACCGACCCAAACGCCCGCCACGCCCGCCCGCCCACAAATGGACGACCGTTCCTGACGCTCTAATCGATTCATTTGCTAAGCAAATTATGAAGCGAAGGGATTGGTATGAAGCGGCCGTGATGCTGCATGGATATATGAGTACACATATGCAGCCGTACCTTCGGTAGCGGTTATTGGCAAGATGCCTACAGGAAACTCGTCCAAAATTGATTTTTAACACATTGAGAACGGAGGCTCTTTCTTCGCAGGATTTTGACCGTTTCACTCCGTTCTTTCGCCATTTCCCACTATATAGCGCCCTACTAGCATTTTAGGCCGAGCACCAAATCATCGTACCGGCTGGAGGGTCCCAAATGAGACCTTATTTGTTGATTCGGACGGTAATAACCTATTCAAAGCGATGGACTCACCTCAGCCCTTGAAA